CGAGGTGGGGGGTCCCGGCGAGGATTTTGCAGAGCGGGGGCCCTTAAAAACAGATGCCCGGAAGCCTGAGGAGGCTGGGAATGTCAGACGCGGTGGCGGGCGCGGTGGGGGGTCCCGGCGAGGATTTTGCAGGGTAGGGGGCTCCTCAAAACGTATGTCAGAGGCCTGAGGAGGCTGGGAATGTCAGACGCGGTGGCGGGCGCGGTGGCGGGCCCCGGCGAGGATTTTGCAAGGTAGGAGGCTCCTAAAAACCTATGCCCAGAGACCTCAGGAGACTGGGAATGTCAGACGCGGTGGCGGGCGCGGTGGAGGGTCCTGGCGGGGATTTTGCATGGTGAGGGGGCCCTTAAAAACGTATGCCCAGAGGCCTCAGGAGACTGGGGATGTCAGACGCGGTGGCGGGCGCGGTGGGGGGTCCCGGCGAGGATTTTGCATGGTGGGGGGCCCTTAAAAACGTATGCCCAGAGGCCTGAGGAGGCTGGGCATGTCAGACGCGGTGGCAGGCGCGGTGGGGGCTCCCTGCGAAGATTCTGCAGGGTGGTGGGTCCCTAAACATTTATGCCCAGAGGCCTCAGGAAGCTGGGAATGTCAGACGCGGTGGCGGGCGCGGTGGGAGGTCCCGTTTTGCAGGGTGGGGGGGGGCCTTAAAACCCTATGCCCAGAGGCCTCAGGAGGCTGGGAATGTCAAGCGCGATGGCGGGCGTGGTGGGGGTCCCGGCGAGGCTCTGAAAATTGATGCCCACAGGCTGCGGAAGCAGCGTTTGTAGGGGGGCTTGTGAGGTAGAAGAAGACATCGTATGCAGCTGAGAAGGATGATGTATAAGGATACATCGTATGCAGCTGAGAAGGATTCCGCACACGCCTCATGGGGCCGGCGGATTTTCCCTCCAGCGAGCGGCTTGAATAAGGAACATTTACTTCTCAGAAGGGGCTCGGTCGTTCCTTGGGCCTGCATGCGCGGTTCAACGTTCCTGATGCGCTACTCCTTTTTCGTCGCCCCTCATGCGTTATTCCTTTGAACAAGGGGACTTTGTTCCTTTCTTATCGTTCCTTAGGTCAGGCCGATGACCGTACTCCTCCTCCTCCTCCTCCTCTTCCTCCTCCCCCTCCTCCTTCCTACTCCTCCTCTTCATCATCATCATCCTCATCCCTCCTCTTCCTCCTCCTCCTCCTCCTCTTCCTCCTCTTCCTCCTCCTTCCTCCTCCTCTTCCTCCTCCTCTTCCTCCTCCTCTTCCTCCTCCTCCTCCTCCTCTTCGTCGCTTTCTTGGGCCGCTCTCTTGGGCCGCCCGCCACGCGGGTGGCGAGGCAGCCCCGTTAAAGAGCAGCCGCGGGGCTCCCTCCCCCCGCGAGAGAGCGGCAGGCCCACAGATGGGGCTCTCGCGCTCTGGTGCTCCCGCGGGAGCGCTCGCCTCCTGCCCAGCGGAGGAGAGGGAGGAGGAGGAGGCGGAGGAGGAGG